TTATTTAAAAGGGATAGTTCACTTTGAAATTAATTTTTGGAGTGTTTTAGCTTACCTCAAGGGCATCCAAGATGTAGGCGTCTTTGTTTCCACAGAAGTTTCAATTTTGATATTTTTAGGTCAAAATGTTCTTGTCTGTCAGTCATGTAATGCAGGTCTATGGTCACCACCTCAAAGAGCAGCACAGAGAAGTCCAAATTAAACATGATTTAATGACTCGTAAATGTAAGTACACATTGATGGCCTAAGACACGAAACGAGCGGTTTGTGTGAGAAAACCAACAGTATTTATATCGTTTTTACCTCTTGTATCCAAGTGGATGCTGCACACTGGTGGTGGTTGAGGAGAGAACCCCTGATTTGATTGTAAAGCGCTTTGGGTGTACAGTAGTACATATGAAAGCGCTATATAAATGCCTCATTCATTCATTGTAACCACAGCCACGTCCAAGTGATCTGAGGGCGCGGGCGCTTCGGTCTTTGCGCCGGAAATGATCTCTCGCGCGTGTACGTCACTCATTGTTTACACAGAACAGAGATTGTTGGTAAGACGGCTAATTAAAATGGTACTAATTTGCGCTTATCCGGGATGTTTAAACCATCATAAAAGAAAACAATAAAAAAAATAATAATAATAAAACAATTGTATGAGTGACGTACACGCGGGAGAGATCACTTCCGGCGCTTTCCAGCGCTTGCCGGAAAAGACCGAAGCGCCGGCGCCCTCAGATCACTTGGACGTGGCTGTGTTTACAAGAGGTAAAAACGATATAAATACTGTTGGTTTTCTCACACAAACCGCTCGTTTCGTGTCTTAGGCCATCAATGTGTACTTACATTTACGAGTCATTAAATCATGTTTACAGTTTTTCTCAGTCGCTTTGGTGCATTTCTCACATCACTATTTACATTTGCACAACAGTTATGGTGCGTTCACGTGCTATGGTAATAATTATGGTAAATACCAAAAGCCGACATGGAAAATGCACATGAACACCCCCTCATGTGGTATTTTCCACTGGGCAGCTCGTAGAATATTTTGATGCACGAGTTCCCGAGATGAGATTACCTTTGACCTTTTCAAAATGGCGGAGAGCAACGCAAGAGTTGTGAATGGTAAAAATATGTACTATTCATGATCTAGAAAATATACAGCATATTATTTACCGTTTGAGTTTTGATAAATCATTTTCTTGCTGTAGCAGATGACTTAGCAATCTAAAATAGTTTTAGCTAAATAACAGGTCTGGATCTCCATCTTTTTACCACATTACGACAACAAAAGCACTTGAACGCAACACACTGGTAAATACTAGTTCACAAGTGGAAAATATCATATTTTCCATAGCACGTGAACGCACCATTAGTTCAACCTCCACAACATTTAGTCATTTGTGCACATCATAGTAGCAGTTTCTCATTCCTTCCAACAAATTGCAAATGCTTATGGACATGCATCAATTGCTTTCATACAACTCTCTGCTGTTTTATAACATTATCATTTGCTTATGTTGTGTTAGTCAAAATTAACTATACTTGTGAATGCTGAATAGTCATTCCATATAAAACGAATAGTCCTCATTTCATTGCTTGAGTCATCACATACAAAAATGTTGAACTAGTTGTCGAAATCTGTCAAGCAAATTAAAAAAAAAATTTATATATTTTTTCTTTCATGAAAATGTCTCCTAAATTGAACAGTTTCTCTCAGGTGAACTTATGTGGCCAGCAGAGAGGAACGTATGGATGTGCATGAATGATTTACAGTACTATGTATGTTGTATGTTCAGTTCATGTACTGCAATATTGTTTACAGTTGTGCACAGCTCTACCCAAAGGGAGTTTATGTTTGTTGTAAATAAGGGTGTATTTTTTCTTTTGCAAGATCGTGTGAACAAATTAGAATTGCAAAGAGCATATGCAGTAAAAATGTGAAACATACATATTCAGTGTCTTGTACTCAGTTACCCAGTGGCGTAGGTTTGATTTTGAAATTGGTGGGCACGGGGACATCAATATATAAATATATTTTAAGTTTTGATCGATTATTGCTAGGGATATATCAGTGTCACTGGATATTGGTAGGGACACGTCCCTAGCGTCCCTACTAAAGTCTACGCCCCTGCAGTTACCTCACTAAATACAGTAATGTGTAACTTTACTGTAGTTTTAAAATGGCTGTGCAAATAGTATATAGTGCTGTCTTGAGCATTTTCAGGTAGTGTCACCAAGATCTGACTTTTTTGCATTGGAAAACATTTACAGAGTAAACTGTCATAATGAAAACATGACAAAGCCATTTGACTATCTTGTTCATAAACAGTGGTGTCAGGACTTTTCATCTTGATGACATTGACACTTTCATTGACATGAATACTTGCTTTTGAGGAATGAGCTATCCATTTTGAGCAAGTGACACGCATTTGCAGGTTATCAACTAGGTTTTGTAGTTTGTACTAATTGTTTTGAGAACTGCATTAACTGTTGTGCAAATGTAAATAGTGATGTGAGAAATGCACCAAAGCGACTGAGAAAAACTGTAACTTGGACTTCTCTGGTCATGCTCTTTGAGGTGGTGACCATAGACCTGCATTATATGACTGACAGACAAGAACGGTTTGACCTAAAAATATCAAAATTGAAACTACTGCGGAAACAAAGACACCTGCATCTTGGATGCCCTTGAGGTAAGCTAAAACATATCAAAAATTAATTTCAAAGTGAACTATCCCTTTAAGGCACCTCTTACAGTTACAGTCAATAACCGAATTGATCTTATGTTTAGATTCATGAAATATTCTGCAAAATTGTTTCCTGTTGTGTGAGAGAGATGACAGTCATCTCACTTAAAGTCCAGTCGGATATCCGATTTTCAGCTGAGAGGATTGTCAAATTATTCAAAATATATGTTAAATGATTGTGTGTGGTCTCGATCATAATGCCAGATAGTCATTTGCCTTGCCTTGAAGTTGTTTATTCCCAATTCTAGCATTAGAGTAGCTCATGATGGGAAAGCCTTTATTACAGTAATGTAGAGCATTATGTAATGCCTCAGAAACCCAAAGGCATCAGTAATTCATGAGGCTGTTAAAAGTTTAATATGGAGCCAGATTGGTTTTATATCGCTAAACCGCTCCAGTGTTTGACTACTGGTTAACATAACTAATAGCTAACGACAGAAGCAGATGAAAACAATGAATACGATTATGAAAACAAACATTATTTTTATTGTGCCTGACTGTGTATGTTCACTAGTGGTTCAGAAAAGGTGTTAAAAGTGTAGCAAAACCAGCAGTAAAACTCCTGAAGAAATTTCCATAATTCATCTCAAAATCAAAAGAAAAAAAATCTTGCATAAAAATGCAAGACATTATTTTAAATTCTCACATTATTGTAGTGCAAAAAAAAAAAATCGCTTTCTCATTATCGTAATCATAAAAATTGGTTCCTCTAGAGTAGACTTTTTTTTTAAATGCATATGATTAAATTCACTGCAACAAATACTACCAATATAAATACTGTGTGTAAATGTAAATAATACATATTTTTCAGTGTTTATTATTCAATATTTTTCATTACAATAAGAATATGGGGTAAAATGCTTAATTGTCATGAAAACATATTATTGGCTCATTTTGTCAAAAATACAATTTTGTTTTTATTCTTTCTTTTAATGTGTGGGTGAAATATGGGCATGTTTTCGAGAGATTGATGTGCACATCGTGATGTACTACGGGTAGAAGAGAGGAGGAGAAGAGAGAATCACAGATGGAAAACAAAAACATAGAAAAATGAGATGGGAATGCAGTGTGTGTGTGTGTGCGTGTGTGTGTGTGGGTGGGTGTGTGTGTGGGGGTCTGGTTAGTGTAAGTGGACAGAATATACAGTTTGTACAGTATAAAAACCATTACGTCTATGGAGAGTCCCAAAGATAGCGAACCAGACAGTGTGTGTGTGTGTGTGTGTGTGTGTGTGTGGGTGTGTGTGTGTGTGGGGGGGGGGGGGGTCTGGTTAGTGTAAGTGGACAGAATATACAGTTTGTACAGTATAAAAACCATTACGTCTATGGAGAGTCCCAAAGATAGCGAACCAGACAGTGTGTGTGTGTGTGTGTGGGTGTGTGTGTGTGTGGGGGGGGGGGGGGGGTCTGGTTAGTGTAAGTGGACAGAATATACAGTTTGTACAGTATAAAAACCATTACGTCTATGGAGAATCCCAAAGATAACGAACCAGACAGTGTGTGTGTGTGTGCGCACGCATGTGTGTGTGTGTGTGTGTAGGGGTCTGGTTAGTGTAAGTGGACAGAATATACAGTTTGTACAGTATAAAAACCATTACGTCTATGGAGAGTCCCAAAGATAGCGAACCAGACAGTGTGTGTGTGTGTGTGTGTGTGTGTGTGTGGGGGGGGGGGGTCTGGTTAGTGTAAGTGGACAGAATATACAGTTTGTACAGTATAAAAACCATTACGTCTATGGAGAATCCCAAAGATAACGAACCAGACAGTGTGTGTGTGTGTGCGCACGCATGTGTGTGTGTGTGTGTGTAGGGGTCTGGTTAGTGTAAGTGGACAGAATATACAGTTTGTACAGTATAAAAACCATTACGTCTATGGAGAGTCCCAAAGATAGCGAACCAGACAGTGTGTGTGTGTGTGTGTGTGTGTGTGTGTGTGGGTGTGTGTGTGTGTGTGTGTGTGGGGGGGGGGGTCTGGCTAGTGTAAGTGGACAGAATATACAGTTTGTACAGTATAAAAACCATTACGTCTATGGAGAGTCCCAAAGATAGCGAACCAGACAGTGTGTGTGTGTGTGTGCGCACGCATGTGTGTGTGTGTGTGTGTGTGTGGGTGGGTGTGTGTGTGTGTGTGGGGGTCTGGTTAGTGTAAGTGGACAGAATATACAGTTTGTACAGTATAAAAACCATTACGCCTATGGAGAGTCCCAAAGATAGCGAACCAGACAGTGTGTGTGTGTGTGCGCACGCATGTGTGTGTGTGTGTGTGTGTGTGTGTGTGGGTGGGTGTGTGTGTGTGTGTGTAGGGGTCTGGTTAGTGTAAGTGGACAGAATATACAGTTTGGACAGTATAAAAACCATTACGTCTATGGAGAGTCCCAACAAAGATAGCGAACCAGACAGTGTGTGTGTGTGTGTGTGTGTGTGTGTGTGTGTTGTAGTGCTCAGGGTTTCTTTGTCGTGCTGACAGTCGCTGCGCTGCTGCCGGTGTTCACAGGGATGTTGATTTCTGAGCCCTGGATTGCAGGTTTGGGCAGAGGAGCTTCGATGGTCAGGACGCCCTCAGGAGACAGACTGGAGGTGATCTTCTCCGAGTCCACACCAGCGGGCAGACTGCAACACAACACACTCGGGTCACCACTCTTTCAAAACAGTGTGATGATGATGATGATGATGATGATGATGATGTGAAATATTATGCAATGTGATGCATGGATCATTGTCAAAGGCTGTTGGTCCCACCCTGGTTAGTGCTTCTGGATCCTCCCTATCAAGTGTGCTTCATCAGCATCAGCAAATTATGAGATACTAAGTCATAATTTTGAGATACAAAGCCATAATTATATCACAATAAGTTAAATTGCTGAAATACTAATTCACAATTTTGAGATAATAAGCCATAATTATGAAACAATAAGATAAAATGATTAGATACTAAGTCATAATTATGAGATAAATCAATTATGACAAAAATTAATAAAAAAAAATAATTATAAGAAATTAAGTCATAATTAAGAGATAAAAAATCTATTCTACAAATGAATAAATTACATAAAACATCACTATGAGATACTAAGTCATAATTATTAGATAAAAGCCATAATTACCACACAATAAGCTGAAATTATTAGATACTAAGTCATAATTATGAGATGTCAATTATGACATAAAAGTCATAATTGTGACAAAAAGTTGAAATGATAAGAAATTAAGTCATAATTAAGAGATAAAAAATATCACTTATACAAATGCATAAATGACAAATTGTCAATATAAGATACTAAGTCATAATTATTAGATAAAAGCCATAATTGTGACACAATAAGTCGAAATTATGAGATACTAAGTCATAATTGTGAGATAAGATTAAGACATAAGTCATTGTAACAAAAAGTTACAATTATAAGAAATTAAGTCATAATTACGAGATAAAAATCAATTATACAACTGCATAAATTACATAAAACGTCAATATGAGATACTAAGCCATAATTATGAGATAAAAGACATAATTATTACTCAATAAGCTGAAATTATTAGATACTAAGTCATAATTATGAGATGTCAATTATGACATAAAAGTCATAATTGTGACAAAAAGTTGAAATGATAAGAAATGAAGTCATAATTAAGAGATAAAAAATATCACTTATACAAATGCATAAATGACAAAATGTCAAAATTAGATACTAAGTCATAATTATTAGATAAAAGCCATAATTGCGACACAATAAGTCGAAATTATGACATACTAAGTCATATTTATGAGATGTCAATTATAACATAAAATGTCATAACTGTGACAAAGCTGAAATAATGAGATATTAAGTCATAATTACGAGATAAAAAAATATGTATGAATAAAAAATGCATAATTCTAACAAAAAGTCAAAAGTATCAGGTGTGCTCGTACTCACGTGTATTTCCTGGTGAAGCATCGGGACACGAAGCCGTGCTCATCCTTCCTCTCCTCATGTTTGCCTGTGGATCAGAGAACGGACACACACACACACACACACACACACACGTGAGATCATTTCTCTCAGATTCTGCATTAAACGGAGAGCAAATGGACACTGAACTCAAAATGACAAGATCTAAAAATACCAACATCTGCAACACAATATTTCTCATCAAAATCTCATTGGATCAAATGATGTGCTCTTACTCTTACTGTATATCAACAGCTGTCTCTATTTTTATATGAAACCACACTTATTTATAAGATCTCGTTACACTCTAAAAATTGCTGGGTTGTTTTAACCCAAATTTGGGTCAAATATAGACAAAAACAACCGTTGGGTTAAAAATTTCATTTAAAATATAACCCATATTTGACCCAAATTTGGGTTAAAAAGACCCTGCCCTTTTTAGAGTGTAGCAACAACCTATAGGATTGTTTTGCATTATCATGTGACACGTCACACTTCTTTGCGACAGTAATGAGTGTTTAGCCGCACATTGACTGAGCTTCATGCTAATGTTTCCTAAAATCACAGGAGTCATTCGACCTCGCTGTCCTTTCAGCGTTCCTCCAAGCTCAAACTCTGGGTAACCCAGCACCGGCTCTGTGTGTGTAGACAACAAACCCCAGAAGACCCTCATCATCTGATAGAGGCCAACACACTGAACACAGAGATGGATGTGATATGAGAGTCAGTGTGTGTTACGTCACTAGATCAACATTACCTGCCGTTTCACTTCTGAAATCTGATGCGCTTCTTTTCCATACCAAACAACAAAGATCTTGAAATGTTAAATGTCTTTAATTTAGAATACATACAAATGTCATTTACGTCTTTGAGTTTGTCAAGAGATTTAAAGTGTCGTTTTTGAAGAGTGCGCATGTATGTGTGAACGAGCTCTAGTGTGTGTGAACGAGTCTATGATTGAAACAGGAAATAAAGCGAAATAACTGAGAAAAATGAGAAATATTCCTCAGATGCATGTCTGTTATTCAATATCAAAACATCTCGCATTAATTCCATCTCAAACAGTTTCAGTAAAATAAGTTATCACTCCTCCACGTGCGTGACGTCATAAACCAGCGTTGTTGAACGACCACTTTACGACAATATGGTTTCGGGGAACAGTCGTGACCATAGATATCCATAATAAAGGCTAGATGTCTCGTCCGCGCTGCTGGCTAATGGAGGTCGACGTCCGCACTGGCGGCCATCTTGCCACAGTCAGCTCGCTCACTCGTAACATTGTGTTTTAATGGTGCATGTACTTTTTAAATAACCATAACTTGCTACATTTTCTACCGATTTTCAAACGGTTTGGTTTGTTATAAACGTCAGAGATGTAGTTATGACACTGCACACTTATGAATAATAAGTGTATAAATAAATAATCATCCAGAATTATAGCCACGTTAATAACGTTTGTAAGAAACCAAACCGTTTGTAAATCCGTCAAGATTTCAGCGAGATAAGAGTATTTGTGTTGGTGCTGATCACTCATCTTACATCAGGCACCACAGAGCCCGCCAGAAAGCTTGCCTGTGACAAGATGGCCGCCGGTGATGACGATAGAGACTCCGCCGTAAGACATCTAGCCTTTATTATGGATATCTATGGTCGTGCTATGGTAGTGAAGCAGCGAGTTACGGCGTTGTACGGGAAACACACTCCTGCGCAGGCTGTGTAATATCTCAGGAATTTAGCTGGCTGTATTTATGAGCTCCCGCCCTACAGAAGATACAACCTTCCCCAGAAACATCTGTTATTCATCTGTTCCTTTACTCCACACTCGCCCACCTCTCTTCCTTATGGAGGACCATTTACACCACATAAGAAAAGAAAAAAATCACGCTTTGGTAAATCATATATAATTATGACACAAAAAGTCTACCGATAGTTTGGTTTTTCTAATGAAAAGAGAGAACCCTCTCATTTGGTACAATATAATATTGGTTGCAATTAACATCAGAGGTAGGCGTATTATATTAAACTGCTATTTATTTCCAGATATACTAATTACCCCCAAATAAAAACTGAAATGTGTGTATACAACTCAGGTATCAGATCGATACCAAATTTTGCAGTATCACCGAACCCTGCGACTACAGAGATCTGTCACGTGACATTTAAGAGCGTCAAAACGGCATTTATTGTTTGAATTTCGTTATAAAATGGCCAGAATTTGATAGATGAGACTTTGTTTCTTTTTAGAAGTAAAGCACAATGCTCTTTGCGATTATTGGACATAAAAAGTGATAATTGTGAAAAGTTGAACTTAAGAGATATTAAGTCATAATTATGAGATAAAAACAAATAATGAATAAATATAGATAATTATGACAAAAAGTTGAAATTATTAGATACTAAATCAAAATTATGAGATTAAAAGCCATAATTATATCCCGATAAGTTGAATTTATGAGATACTAAGTCATAATTATGAGACAATCATGACATAAAATGTCATAACTGTGACAAAGTTCAAATAATTATGAGATAAAAAAAATCAATTATGAATAAAAATGCATATTATAACAAAAAGTCTCAATTATTAAATGCTAAGACAATTATCAGATACAGGGTTAAAACTATGACACACTAAGTCATAATTACAAAATAAACATTAACGTTTTCTAAAAAGTCAAAATTCATAATTATGATTCACAAAAGCATAATCTTTTTTCTTGTGTGGCAGAAATGGGCTTCTATACTTCCTGGACAAAAGCAAAATATTAACTTTTATAGTAGTTTTTAGACACTACAGTTACCCCAAGAAATATCTGGACACACAAATTGTCTGAATGTCACACATTATATCAAGAGGATCTATTCTCTTCACTAAGTTGAATTCATTGTGTTTGAATCGGCTGGTGTGTTGGTGATTTCTAATGGATTTATGATGAAGTCGATTCACAAACAAACACAACAGTGTCTGTCTCGATCAGTACTACATCTATGGCTTGAGCATTTCAAACAGAACAAACTGAGCTGTTCTTCTTGTGACCATTATGACTCAATTAGTTGAAATTATGAGATACTAAGTCATAATTATGAGATACTAAGTCTTAATTATGAGATAAAAACATAATTATGAGATACTAAGTCTTAATTATGAGATAAAAACATAATTATGACACAATAAGTTGAAATTATGAGATACTAAGTCATAATTATGAGACAATAAGTCGAAATGATAAGATACTAAGTCATAATTATGAGATAAAAAGCCATAATTATTACACAATAAGTCAAAATTATGAGATACTAAGTCATTATTATGAGATAAGTCAATTATGACATAAAAGTCATAATTGAGAAAGAAATGTAAGTCATAATTACGAGATTAAAAATCAATTATTGATACAAATGCATAATTATGACATAAAAGGTATAACATTTTGACATACTAAGTGTTAATTATGAGATTAAAAAGTTGAAATTATGATATACCAAGTCATAATGAATAAAATAAACATAAAAAATTATGAGTCTAAAAAGTAAAAATTCATAATTATGATTTCTTGTGTGGCAGAAATGGACTCCCTGGACTTTTCCCTTTTCAAAACAACAACACAAATCAAGAGTAATTTCCTTCCTCAAAGCAAAACATTCTCTTTTATAGTAGCTTTTAGACACTACAGTTACCCCAATCTAAAGTCTATTGTCTTCACTAAGTTCTCAATGTGTTTGAATCGGCTGATTTTGATTTTTAGTGGATTTATGATGAAGTCGGTTCACAAACAAACACAACAGTGTCTGTCTCCATCAACACTACATGTATGGCTTGAGCATCTCAAACAGAACAAACTGAGCTGTTTTTCTTATGACTTCTTATGACTATTACGTCATAATGATGAGAAAAACATAATTATGACACAATAAGTTGAAATTATGAGATACCAAGTCATAATGATGAGAAAAAACATAATTATGACACAATAAGTTGAAATTATGAGATAAGTCATAATTATGAGATAAAAAACAATTTATGACACAATAAGTTGAAATTATGAGATACCAAGTCATAATGATGAGAAAAAACATAATTATGACACAATAAGTTGAAATTATGAGATACCAAGTCATAATTATGAGATAAAAAACAATTATGACACAATAAGTTGAAATTATGAGATACCAAGTCATACTGATGAGAAAAAACATAATTATGACACAATAAGTTGAAATTATGAGATAATAAGTCATAATTATGAGATAAAAAACATAATTATGACACAATAAAGTGAAATTATGGGACACTAAGTCATAATTATGAGATAAAAGCCATAATTATGACACAATATGTCATAATTACACAATATGTCATAATTATGAGATACTAAATCATAATTATGAGATAAAAACGTAATTATGACACAATAAGTTGAAATTATGAGATACTAAGTCATAATTATGAGATTAAAAAACAATTATGACACAATAAGTTGCAATTATGGGATACTAAGTCATAATTATGACACAATAAGTTGAAATTATGAGATACTAAGTCATAATTATGAGATAAAAAACATAATTATGACACAACAAATTGAAATTATGAGATACTAAGTCATAATTCTGAGATAAAAGTGCTCACCGCTGATCTCCACCACTCCATCTTTGGTCTTCACCGTCAGCTCCTCGGGGGCGAAGTGATTGACATCCAGGCTGATCTTCCAGGCGTCCTGAGTCTGCTTTATCTCGGACATTCCCGAGCTCAGCTGTCGGGAGAAGGCCCGGCCGTAGTTCTGAGGAAGCATCCCGGCGGGAGGAGACATGGGCATCTGGGCCGGACTCTGCATGAGACAGGCCATGTCCGGCTGTCCGAACGAGCGCATGTATCCCGGCCAGTGCGTGCTCGGGAAAGTGGGGATCTCCTCGGAGAAGGGAGGCATCCCGAAGGTTTGGTCGAAGAGCCGGCTGCCCTGGTACCAGTCCCGGAAAGGGTCCCAGGATGAGCCGTGCATAAAGCTGAAGGGGATCCGTCTCTCGGCCATAGCTTGAGTTTCAGTTCTTGCTCTGAAAGTTTTCAGGAGAGTGTTGTGTCCCGTTTGGGAGAGCTGGGATTTATAAGAACGTATTGGCCGACCCCCTTTCACACTAACACCTCCTCCCATCCGGATATTTATGGAAGTGACTAGAATGTCTATTCACGGATGGCTTTGCATGAGACATTTTCATTCCTGTATTGTGTATGAAGCCAAAAACAGTCAAGTCTCCTTCATTTCTACAGCGCTTTAACGATATAGAGTGTGTCAAAGCAGCTTTACAGAGATAATAACAGGAGATTGTGGTTTCACTTTATTTTCATGGTCCCTTTAACACATTCTGTTGTCTATAAGTAACTTTGCACCCACATGTCTATTAACTCTCATTAGAGTGTTAGTAGAGTATTAGCAGATTGGTAGGGTTAGGGTTAGAATAAGTTGGCACACTCTAAACAATGCTGGGTTGTTTTAACCCAAAATTGGGTAAAATATGGACAAACCCAAATGTTGGGTTAAAAGTGTCATTTAAAATTTGAACCCAACTTCAACTTTCACTTTCAACTTGACATTTTTTAATAAAAATTTTAACCCAACATTTGGGTTTGTCCATATTTGACCCAAATTTGGGTTGAAATAACTCAGCATTTTTTAGAGTGCATGTAGTTGCAAAGTTACTTAAAGTTAACAGAATGTGCAAAAGGGACCATCAAAATAAAGTGTTACCGAAATTGTTTTGGCTTTACAGCAGATCTAGAATAAAGTTATGGTCCAGCTACAGTCACGGATGGCCTCGCATGGGACATTTCCATAATTCCTGCATTGTGCATGATGCCAGAAATACATAACTGTATGAAAAACAGGAGAGCGCTTGCAACGCAAAGGTCATGGGTTCGATTCCCAGGGAATTATTAAATGTAGAGCTTAAATGCAGTGTAAGCTGTTCTGGATAAAAGCATCTGGCATACTGAGAAACTGTAAATACTGAGATGTTTCAGATTGTAATCTTTGATCTATATATCACGATACTGAAAGATTTCATATACCATAATAACAAGCATTCACCAGATTAAAAGTCACAATGGCAAGACTGCAACTACTGAGATACATGTGTATATTTATGCACTATGGTACAAGGAATCGTGTTTTATTGTGAATATAATGGACTGACTATACAACATCTGTAGCAAGACCTCAAAAGCCGTATTGCTTTAATAAACAGTTTCTTCATATTCGGATAAAACATGTATCCCAGTGTAGGATTACACATTTATTTAAATGTTTAATTTAGGTTCCAGTGTAATAGTATATAAACTGAGAAAGTTCTGTAGATTGAATTTAGCATTCAGCTGTTGAGCACGATATTCCTGTCCTGTTCTGTTTCTCTCTATACAGCCGCCAGACCCGTTTCTCTCTATTGTAAGTTAAATGAAACAGATTACTGAAACTCTTGGGGACTCTCGTGAGCTTTTGTCTCAGCAAGAGAGAGTCCTGGCATTCCTGTTTTTGAGTCTCAGTGTTTGAATAAGTTATCACTTTCAGGTTTCTTAAACCTGTATATGAGTTTTGCTCCACCTCTATGTAAACCCCCCCCCCCCCCCCCCCCCCTAAATGTATAAATTGCAATGTAAAAGTTCCCTTGTTTAGACTATTCTTGAGAAGACTACAGCGACGCAATAAAGAACTTCTGCGTGAAAGATACCTCAAAGTCTCCTGGTCTCCTGAGCTTCTAACTTTTCTACAAGGAAAAAGTTCCCAACACCAGCTTCGGGAAAGTGGGAATCGCATCCATGGCTTGAGTTTGAGTTGTGTGTCCCGTTCGGGATTCATACACGGCAAAAAATGCTTTTCTTACTTAGTATTTTTGTCTGTTTCTAGTCCAAATATCTAAAAATACATAAATCAGGATGCATCTAGATGAGTAAAATGCCATTAGATATTATGTCTTGTTTTCTAGGGAAATGAATCAAAATGAAGTGAGTTGTTGCTTTAAAAAAGCTAAAAAATTTTAAGCTAAAAAAAAGAAGAAGTTAATTCAAACAGAAACAAGATTATTTTTCTGACCCCATTGGCAGATCATTTTTCTTTTTTTAAGCATCAACTCACTTAATTTGTATTAATTTGTATTTGTATTATTTCCCCAGAAAACAAGACACAATATCTAATGGCATTTTACTCATCTAGTAAATGCATCCTGATTTGAGAATTTTTAGATATTTGGACTGGAAACAAGACAACAATACTAAGTAAAAAAAGCATTTTTTGGAGTGTAAGAACGTATTGCCCAGCCCAACCCGCCCCCCCCCCCCCCCCAAACCCCCCCACCCCCCCGCTCGCCCCCACACACACATCCGGGTATTTATAGAAGTGACTCGAATGTTTATTCACGGAAGGCCTTGCATGAGAATGGCATTCGAGGCAAAGCCTTCCCGAAGCGACTTTCCTGGCGCTCACACACACACACACACTGCTGTGTTTTTGTGATATATGAGGACATTCCTAGGCGTAATGACTTTTATACTGGACAAACTGTATATTCTATCCCCCTACACTGCCCCTATCCCTAAACCTACCCATCACAGGAGACATGCTGCATTTTTACATTAAAAAAAACATAGTTTTTTATATTTTTTAAGCTATTTGAAATATGAGGACTCATGCAATGTCCTCATATATCACGTGTAAGTTGTAATACCAGTGTAATATGCATGTCATTATACACATTTGTGTCCTCATATATCACAAAAACAAAAGCACACACACACACACACATTCCTGTCATGACACTGGAGCGGAGGAATCTGGGATTGTTGTAAAGCACACAGACCGAGTCAGCAGAGACAGACCCAAACACACAGAAATAACAGGAGCAAACACACGTGCTGACAGATGATTTACAGGAGGAGTGAAGGAACACTGAGAGATAAACAATAAAAGCTTGTCATTAACTAAACCACTGTACCTTGTACATATGTACATTATATTTATGCAATAAGGTACAAGGAATCGTGTTATATTGTAATTATATATTTGACTAGATTGTGTAGTAAGACCTCAAAAGCCGTATTGCTTTAATTAATAAACAGTTACTTCATATTAGGATAAAAAAAACCTCAATAAAATTAACTAATTTCACTTTTATTCAAACGTACAAGCAGCTTTTATGAAGTTTGGATTGTTCTGCAACTCCAAAATTCTGGAAGAAGCGAATGAAGTTTTGAGCTGCTGGTTTTGAGATTACTGGTTTTGAGCTTACTGGTTTTGAGCTGCTGGTTTTGAGCTCACTGGTTTTGAGCTGCTGGTTTTGAGCTGCTGGTTTTGAGCTGCTGGTTTTGAGCTCACTGGTTTTGAGCTGCTGGTTTTGAGCTCACTGGTTTTGAGCTGCTGGTTTTGAGCTGCTGGTTTTGAGCTCACTGGTTTTGAGCTGCTGGTTTAGAGCTCACTGGTTTTGAGCTCACTGGTTTTGAGCTGCTGGTTTAGAGCTCACTGGTTTTGAGCTCACTGGTTTTGAGCTGCTGGTTTTGAGCTCACTGGTTTTGAGCTGCTGGTTTTGAGATCACTGGTTTTGAGTTCACTGGTTTTGAGCTGCTGGTTTTGAGATCACTGGTTTTGAGCTCACTGGTTTTGAGTTGCTGGTTTTGAGCTGCTGGTTTTGAGCTGTTGGTTTTGAGCTCACTGGTTTTGAGCTCCTGGTTTTGAGTTGCTGGTTTTGAGCTCACTGGTTTTGAGATCACTGGTTTTGAGCTGCTGGTTTTGAGCTGTTGGTTTTGAGCTGCTGGTTTTGAGCTCACTGGTTTTGAGCTCCTGGTTTTGAGATCACTGGTTTTGAGCTCCTGGTTTTTAGTTGCTGGTTTTGAGCTTACTGGTTTTGAGCTGCTGGTTTTGAGATCACTGGTTTTGAGCTGCTGGTTTTGAGATCACTGGTTTTGAGCTGCTGTTTTTGAGCTGCTGGTTTTGAGCACCTGGTTTTGAGATCACTGGTTTTGAGCTGCTGGTTTTGAGCTCACTGGTTTTGAGCTAACTGGTTTTGAGCTCACTGTTTTTGAGCTGCTGGTTTTGAGCAGCTGGTTTTGAGCTCACTGGTTTGAGCTGCTGGTTTTGAGCTGCTGGTTTTGAGCTCACTGGTTTTGAGTTGCTGGTTTTGAGCTGCTGGTTTTGAGCTCACTGGTTTTGAGTTGCTGGTTTTGAGCTCACTGGTTTTGAGCTGCTGGTTTTGAGCTGCTGGTTTTGAGATCACTGGTTTTGAGCTCACTGGTTTTGAGCTCACTGGTTTTGAGCTGCTGGTTTTGAGCTCACTGGTTTTGAGCTGCTGGTTTTGAGCTGCTGGTTTTGAGCTGCTGGTTTTGAGCTCACTGGTTTTGAGCTGCTGGTTTTGAGCTCACTGGTTTTGAGCTGCTGGTTTTGAGCTGCTGGTTTTGAGCTGCTGGTTTTGAGCTCACTGGTTTTGAGCTGCTGGTTTTGAGCTCACTGGTTTTGAGCTCACTGGTTTTGAGCTGCTGGTTTAGAGCTCACTGGTTTTGAGCTCACTGGTTTTGAGCTGCTGGTTTTGAGCTCACTGGTTTTGAGCTGCTGGTTTTGAGATCACTGGTTTTGAGTTCACTGGTTTTGAGCTGCTGGTTTTGAGATCACTGGTTTTGAGCTCACTGGTTTTGAGTTGCTGGTTTTGAGCTGCTGGTTTTGAGCTGTTGGTTTTAAGCTCACTGGTTTTGAGCTCCTGGTTTTGAGTTGCTGGTTTTGAGCTCACTGGTTTTGAGATCACTGGTTTTGAGCTGCTGGTTTTGAGCTGTTGGTTTTGAGCTGCTGGTTTTGAGCTCACTGGTTTTGAGCTCCTGGTTTTGAGATCACTGGTTTTGAGCTCCTGGTTTTTAGTTGCTGGTTTTGAGCTCACTGGTTTTGAGCTGCTGGTTTTGAGATCACTGGTTTTGAGCTGCTGGTTTTGAGATCACTGGTTTTGAGCTGCTGTTTTTGAGCTGCTGGTTTTGAGCACCTGGTTTTGAGATCACTGGTTTTGAGCTGCTGGTTTTGAGCTCACTGGTTTTGAGCTAACTGGTTTTGAGCTCACTGTTTTTGAGCTGCTGGT